TGTACAGTAGTGCCTTGCATAGAGATCGCTCTGTTGAGCGACAAAATCGCTTAGCGACAGAATTTTTGCGATCGCAAAAGCAATCACTTTGTGATGGTCCCTATGGATTTTTTTTGCTTTACGATGATCATGGCAAAGCGACCCTTTTTAAACAGCTGATCAGCTGTTTCAAAATGGCCGCTGGGAAAACAAAATGGCCTCCCGCTGTTTTTCCTCGCTTAAGAGGCAGCGAAAATGGCGGTGCTATGGAGGATTTTTGGTTTAAGGTGAGGTTTTAAGCCCATAGGAATGCATTAATCGTGTTTCTATGGGCTTTTCAATTTTGCTTAGCAATAAATTCACTTAGCAACGTTTTTCTGGAACAGATTAATGTCGCTAAGCAAGGCACCACTGTATTTAATGGCATGATTGATATTGGAGCTGATGTTAGTGTTATTGCAAAGAAAGACTGGCCAGAAATGGTTATTGTGGGTTTTTCGGGTTCTTTGGCCCTGTTCTAAAGGTTGTTCTTTTTTTTTGCTGAAAAAGCACACCCCTCGGCTTATACTCGAGTCAGTGTCAAAATTACATGTTCTCCCCCCCCCCGCAGTGCGAGTGTTCTCTGGACTCCCCCGCTTATCTACTGGCGCCTGCAGCCTCTGTGAGTGGTCCGATGATCCGGGTTAAGTACACTGCATTTCCGCTTCCAGGACACTCCCATCCTCCTCCTCCTGCATATTCTATGTACCCACCTTCCTTCTCCATCCTCCGTCTCCCTCCACCTTGTTATGCAGCAGTAGAGAAGAAGATAAGTGCAGCATCAGGTATGAGTCCTCCCTCCTCAGGCAGTGAAGTATGTCTCCCAGCTCAGAAGGGCAGTATCTTCAAAAACATTTAACCTACTAATGCCTCAATTAATGTAATTTTATTGTTATCTATTTTTATTTTTTGAAATTTACCAGTAGCTGCTGCATTTTTCACCCTCGGCTTATACTTGAGTCAATATGTTTTCCCAGTTTTTTGTGGTAAAATTGAGTGCCTTGGCTTATATTCGGGTCAGCTTATATTTGAGTATATACAGTAGTATGCAAGAGACAATGTCTACAGAGATTTCCTAACTTACTGCAATTCACTTCCCAAAAATTTGCCATTTGCATAACTGCACAATAGGAATCCTACCCAAGGCTTGTTTCAAAGCAGTTTGCTTCAACCTGGTGCCTTCCAGAAGTGAGCAGGCAGGCTGGGTATGATGGAAGTGGTAGTCCAACACATTTGGAAAGTGACATGTCAGGAAAGGCTATTTTAGAGTCTCTTATTTACTAAATTCTTATGATAGTTCAGTAAAAAATATATATCTTTGCATCATAATGTATTTATTATTTATAAATCACCTCAGTGGGCATGGCACGTTTCATAGGGATTGGTAATATGTTGGCCACATGGACAGGTCTCCCCAGCTATCAGAGGAGTTGTACAGAATTATTATTACTATGCCTCTTACAGGCTGCTATGAAACACTAGCCTAAGGATACTCTTGCACTCCTGCCTTGGTTGTGGTTTTCCCATAGCCTCATAGAAAGTCATTGTAAGATTAGATAGGACTTTGATCTTACCCAGCACAGGTCTCATTATGTCCTGATGTAGTTGTCGATATAGACCTTTCAAATAAAAAACAAACAAACAAACAAAAATCCAAATGAAAACTGCAACCAATAAATCAGAAGAAAAAGAAAATATGAAACAGAAATGATGAAGGAACTAGATCCTCAAGTCTAAGCAAATGGCAGTGGAGACAAGAGCCTAGAGCACTCACAGCAAACTTTTTTGGCCTGAGTGCCCAAATTGAAAAAAACAACAACAAACAAACCTCAGAGGGTGCTGGTAGAAGCTGAACTGGCAGCAGCGAAAGCAGAAGGGGCAGCAGAAGGTGTAATCCCAGGAATGGAGGTGCCTCCAGATCCCACTTTGGATCCACCTCCAGTTGCCAGTGCAAGCTGCTCCAGATCCTGGCCCACTGCCTTTCAGGGCGCTAGTACTGCAGCTGCAGCTGCCTCGTCAGGTCTGGCTGTGTGTGGGGGGGGGGCAGTGACCTGGCAACTTATGGCTTGCATGCCCACAGAGAGGGCTCTTCATGCCAGCTGTGGCATGCATGCCATAGGTTCGCCACCGCTGGCCTAGAGTGTCTGTACTTTAGTATTACCAGTTCGACATACTGGTGTGAAAGTTGGGCACTGAAGAGACGTGATAGGAAAAAGGAGAATCATTTGAGATGTAGTGTTGGAAGAGAACATTTTATGGATAACATGTGCCACTAGAAATAAGTGGGTTCCTGACCAGCCAAGTCATTTTTGCTTCTAGAGAGCTCAGGTTTGATTTGGACAGGAACCCACTTATTTGTCTTTCTAATGGTACATGGTATGCATAAAGCTGAAGCTTTCATACTTCTAATATTTCAAAACAAGATTCACTTGAAAAGACAGTACAGTGGAGTCTCGACTTAAGAACGTCCCTACTTAAGAACAATCCAACTTAAGAACAGCTCCATTTGCTAAATTTTGCTGCTACTTGAGAACAGAAATCCAAGATAAGAACAGGAAAAAAAACCTTTCCTGCTCTTTTTTTAACCTTAGGTCATCTTAGGTTAAAAAAAAATTTCTTCCCCTAGTGGTAGAGTACGTATTAACCAGCTTTGCATTAGTTCCTATGGGAACTAATGCTTCAATGTACGAACGCACCTCTACATAAGAAAAAAACAGCCAGAACGGATTAATTGGTTTTCAGTCCATTCCTATAGGAAATTTTGCTTCAACTTAAGAACGTTTCAACTTAAGAACACCATTCCAAAACGGATTAAGTTCTTAAGTAGAGGTTTCACTGTATTGTCAGAAAAAATGGAAGACAATAGAAAAGAGGAAAACCTAATATGAGATAGATTAACTCAATAAAGGAAGCCACAGTCCTCTTTTCTGGTGCCTCTGGAAAGTGTCAGGAAACTTCAGTGTGTCCAAAATGCAGCAGTCAGATTGCTAACAGGCTGGTAACAGGGATTACATAACCCTCCTGTTACAACAGATCCACTGGATTCTGATCTGTTTTCAGGGACAATTCAAAGTGCTGTCTTAATCTCTAAATGGCCTGGGCCCAAGCTGCTGCATTTCAAAGACTGTATTTTCGTTTATAAGCCTGCTCTAGTGTTAAGATAATCAGGAGAGACTTTTTTCTCAGTCTCACCACCCTTAAAGGTGCATTTGGTGGAAACATGGGAGAGGGCCTTCTCTGTTGCTGCTCCCAGACTTTGGAACTCCCTCCCACATGAGGACAAGCTGGCCCCATCTTTACTATTATTTCTCTTCAGGCACATTTTCCCTGAGTGATTGGCTGCCTGAGTGTGGGGTTTAAATGATTGTTGTACCCTACTTCTTTGAAGATTTTTGGTGTTGCTTTTGTTTACTGGTTTTTAGTATGGTGTTTGTTTGATCCTTTTTAGTACAGTATTTGTATAATTGTTGTAAACTTCAAACATTGTCTTTTAAGCATTTAAGAGCCATTGGGTCCTTTTTAAGTAGAAAGGCAGGGTATACATACATACATACATACATACATACATACATACATACATACATACATACATACATACATACATACATACATACATACATACATACATACATACATACATACATATTGTTCTCAACCCATAGAACCCTTTGGGTTTTTTGTTTTATTAAAGAGGAAAAGGCTTCAATTCCTGCAGGAAGGTAGGGCTTGCCACTCCTAATTTATTATATGGAAGCAGACTGTTAAATTACTGCCATTACCTTGAGGCAAAGGTGCAAAAGACAAGGGTGTGGCAGAGACTCTTTGTTCTACTAGTAGTTGGAAAATACTTTGTTTTTACAGATGTTTGTGTTTAGGGCTTTGATGTGGAATAGAACGTGTTTACAAAGTAGAAATAAGAACCACAGACTTGAAATAGCCTCCTGACATGTAGCCGGGTGAGTTGGTTGGAGCAAATAATGACAAAGAGTTTCGGAGCACTGTAAAGACAAAACACATTTAAAGTGTCACAGGGCTAATAGTAAGAACAGGAAACATTACTCGCATAATTTTAAAAAAAAGTTAGACGGAGAATACAGTATATAGTGTAACAGGTTTCAGTGTGTTAACTTGAGAGCAGCTGGCCAACAAGACAACAATACAGTACTGCCATTTAGGAACAGGCGCAGATGAGTGTGAGTGTGTTTACATCCACCTCCAGCTTTTCCCTATATGGGCATATGAGATCAGCAAGGTGGAATCACAACCAGCCAGCCGCCGACACCGACGGACAGGTGTTATGACAAAAGCCCCCCGAGCCGGGGTCTGCGCCCGCCCAGCGGGTGGTGCTGTGGAGGCCCGCCAGACCTCCCCTCCCCGCTGGCCCCAGGCTACCCCTACGCACTCCACACCCCAAAGTCTACCCCGGACGGCAGCGGAAGTGAGTGTAGGGGGCAGTATAGGAATTTCCTGTGACGTCCCGGTCCGGACTCCATTAGGCTGCAGCTAGGCAGAGAAGCCACAAACCCAGCAGCTACTGGAGAGGAGCGGGTCGAGTGCCTGGGGCTGCCAGGCTGGGGGGGCGTCTGGGGCAGCGTTAGCTGGAGGGACCCTAGAGCGGGGCGGCGGCGGCTGCTGTCTGAGGGACGCGGGGAGAGGAGACAGCTTTCCTGTGACGTCCCGGTCCGGACTCCATTAGGCTGCAGCTAGGCAGAGAAGCCACAAACCCAGCAGCTACTGGAGAGGAGCGGGTCGAGTGCCTGGGGCTGCCAGGCTGGGGGGGCGTCTGGGGCAGCGTTAGCTGGAGGGACCCTAGAGCGGGGCGGCGGCGGCTGCTGTCTGAGGGACGCGGGGAGAGGAGACAGCTCTCCCCCCCCCCANCCGACTCGGACACCGGCGGAGCCTCCCCGCCACCGCGGAAGAAAGCGCGGGCCTCCCCGGCGGCGGCGGCGGCGGAGGGAGCAGGAGAGCCCGGGGCTTCCACGGGCAGAGCAGGCCTCACCTCGTCCCCGTCCCCCTCGCTCTCCGCCGGGCTCGCCCCCCCTGCTGCCAACCCCCTCAGAGCCACTAGCAGTGCCATGCAGGCCAACGGGGCAGGAGGGGGTCAGCAGCAACAGCCGCCGCCGTCGTCACCGTCACCGCAGGGTCCGGAGCTAGGCTGCCTCAGCGCCCAAAACGGCGAGGCCTCCTCAGGCTCCACCGCCGGCGAGCAATTGGCTCACGCCAACGGGCTGCTCCCGTCGGCCAACAACAACGGCGGCGGGGGTGGTGGTGGTGGCGGCGGCGGCCCCGGCCCGAGTGTCAACAACGGGGTCTCGGCCCCCGGGGGGTCCTCCGCCGACATGGGGGGAGGCAGCGGCGTCGGAGTCGGCGGCAGCGCCTTGAAGAAGAAGAAGCGGCTCTCGCAGTCCGATGAGGACGTGATTCGGCTCATCGGGCAGCACCTCCACGGGCTGGGCCTCAAGTAAGTGGGGCGAGCAAGGTTATGTTTCCCCCGGGTATGGGGCTGCCTTTTCTGACGGACGTCTCGGTGGTGATCGGTCTCTCGGAATGAGATTACCCACCTTGTTTTTGTTCTCTGGTCCCCTAGAAACCCGATTCGACACCTCCACCCCCGTCCCTTTTTTCGACTCCCTGTGAAGCTTATTCTTGGGGGAGAGACACATCTGGAGGTGGGGTGGATGACACTCCGCTGGTTAATCTCTCCTCCATTATTGCAGCCGAAGCGAAGTCGGGTGAAATCTTTGCATGGGGGAGGGGGATGTTAAATAGCTCAGGGTTTGTGTTTTCGGGAATAATAGTCATGCTAGACTTGTTTATTTTAAGACCCATTGTATGCCGGAGGGAGAGAAGCCAACACTTTTGTTTATGCGTGTGTTGTTGATCTATATTTTACCAGGGAGGGGTAATTTCTGTTATGGATTATCCTGTTGCAGTTTAATATCAGAGAGAGAGATGAGGGAGGAGATAAATCCAGTAAAGGATGGAGGCACTGAAACCACAGGGCCTGTTTTTTCAGGCCTAGTCCAATGTGAACTTCCTGCTGAGAAAACAGGTAGAGCTTCTGTCATCCGTGACAGGATGGAGGCCCAGCATCATTTTTTTTTGTTAAAATTGAATGAATAAAAAGATGAGTGATAAAATAATATTTTGAACAGAATTGTGTGTGGAAATCTCTTTGTCTGGGTAGGTGTATACAGTATTAGCTTGTGATATGGAAAGGATAAATCAACATATAGATAGGCTTCTGATTGTAGAGTCTCTAGAATTGGCTGTTTAGATTGGCAGATTGTTAAAATGTAGTTCAGACATGATGATGTATAATAGTTTTTAACTATACTGTGTTTTTTAAAAAAAATTAATGGCAGATGTGTTGACTCTTCTGTAGCTTGCAGCACTGCAGTACTTTGAGCTGAGTAATAGACATGCAGCTGGTGGGGGAGGATGAAAAACAAATAAATATAGGACATCAGCAATTGCAGTTAAAAAAACAATGAACATTAGTACAGTGTAATGGTATCTAGGCAAACATTGAGATCTTACAAAGGTCTTTTATCTTTTTATCCATGTCTATGGTGTCCTCGGAAAACTAAAGCCCCTTGTAGGGTGAAAGCTTGAGTCATTGTGAAAATGGATTGGTTTTAATTAACTTAGGACACAAAATAAGCACATCACTGACACAAGGCAAGTTTACAGCAGCAGGCAACAACTCGTGACTTGTTTATAGACAACACCATAGTAAATGTTCTATTTTTAGTTTTTAAAAGGGGGGGAGGGTTGTAGGTTTTATAGATTAGCTTATTTTATTAAGTACTCAACCTAATGGACAACTGACATGATGGCAGACACTATACAGTATTGTTAGGGATCGCAGTGATAAATCAGGTCCTTAACACCAATGGATTCTAAAGGCAGACATAACGTCAACTGCTGTATTTTTCAGATGAATGGCTTGTTGCTATGTTTACAGAGCCATGTTTTTTCTTGATTGTCAAAATGTTTGAGAAAAGATACATTTTGTATTTGAATTTATCAGCCACATACAACTTGTGGATCCAAGGGCATGAGTTTGGACATGTCTGTATTCCGAATTCTTGAAATTTATTATAAGGTGTTTCGGCTTTTGATTTTTCCTGAAACAGTGTTTTTCTAGTACTTTGGTCCATGGCCTCAGCGGACAACTTCACTGTAAGAAAAAGATTGGTCAGGGTTTTTTTTTCATACTGTACTTCTCTCCTGCAGCCAGACTGTTGATCTTCTCATGCAAGAGTCAGGGTGTCGTTTAGAACATCCTTCTGCTACCAAGTTCCGCAATCATGTCATGGAGGGAGAATGGGATAAGGTAATGAAAGAGACACAGTACTGCCTGATTATATTTAGGGCTATTACCCTGTGCTCAGTTACTTCAGAGTAACTTGGCAAGACTTAATTATGAGTAAACTTTCATAGGTCTGAATATATAGATTGTGTAGGGAATTTCAGGATACTTACCTTCTCTTCTCCTTTCTTTTTCTGTTTTCAAAACCTTCTTCTTGTAGGCGGAGAACGACCTTAATGAACTTAAACCTTTGGTACATTCTCCTCATGCAATTGTGGTAAGAGAAATTCTTGAATTATTTTAGACATAGTTTGGATTAATTGTAGTAATCTGTGTGCATGTGTGTTTTAAATTAGGGTGCTCATGCTATTCAAATGAGTGTACATGTGTACAGTAAAATTAATCTCTTCCACTAAGCAACATCTGAAATATTAGGAGTGGTACTTAATAGAGTGATGTCTAGTATTTTTGAACTTTCTGCTGTAAGTAGCACAATGTGTTATAAGACTAACATCATGTATAGTGAGTAGTGTACATATAGATCTTATGTGTGTTTAGTAGGCACCAAGAAATCTGTGTGATTTGCAGTTAAATAATTCCATCTGTTTCTAACTCTTATACATTTGGACAGAAAAAAACTGGTGGGTTGTAGGAGGTGTTTTCTGACCTAGATGGAATTCTATTATATTGGAATTAACTGCTTTAGGGTTTGGGTTTTGATTACATGTACACTTGTATTTCTTGACCCTAGTAGAATTCCAAATTCCTCTGTTCTTGAATAGGGCCACTCTGTTGATCACTTGATTACATTGCTCTTCTTTCTTGTATTATGGATGGTTTGAAAATGGCATGAGATTGTTTTTTATTTTATTATGTAGGATAAGGGGAGGAGAATCCAAATAACAAAAAACAGTTGGTTTGCTGGGACAAGATCTGTTCTGTTGTTTTTTCTTTTGGAAATTAAATGGACATCAACTGAAAGCTGGTATCATTGTTTACAGTTGCTCAAGTGATACTTACCGTAAAGGGACAATATATGTGAATAAATGTGATTAAAATGTAGTGACTATTAGTAAGCAAAGAATATAATTATCGTTTTAGTTGGCTTGCATTTGGATAATTATGTAAAATATAGGCCATTATCAGTAGTGTTTTATCTAATTAAAGTGGATGAGTCTCAGGATCACTTTATTGAGATCTTCCATCTTAAATTGGCACATTGTAACTGTAATTTATTACAGTTACACCCTAACAATGTAGACATATTGGCTAGAAACCTATTTGTTAGTTACACTAATTTTAAGTGCACTTGCAGAAATTGCTGCTAGTTAGTGAGCTACTGCTTGTATCTCTTATTGTGTATCAAGTGATATGACTGGTGCATGATGAGAGATGTAAGCAGTGACCTGTTAACTAGCAGTAGTTTGTGCCATTGCACTTGCTGTGGCAAAAGTAAGCAATAGGATTGTGACCACTGTGTTGAAATAAAGGGGAAATGAAACATCTCTTACCACTTTAATACATGTATTTTCCCCTCTCCTGTGCTGTACTTTATATTAAGGTACCTTGTCATTACAGTGATGTGTTTTCCTCTTAGTCAAGTGGAAAATATGGCACTGTTTTCAAAATGGATATAAAAAGAAAGAGAATTTAACTCATGTCTGTGTAGCTGTTTTCTGATTGATTGATTTGCTCTCAAAAGCGTATTTTTTCTATTCTCTCTTCCCATTCCTTCCCCTACCAGACAGGAAGTGAATTTTAGAAAACAGATGTTTTGTTATATGTCATTTGCTCCGGAAGGAATTTGTGTTTTGTTATTTTGCCCAGATCAAAGTCTATCTGTGTCCAGATCTGTTCTCTTGAACAAGTAGTTCACTGACTTCTTTTGAGCAGACAGTTATTAATAGGACAGCCAGCACTATGATGTGCCATATGTAGTACTAGAATCCTCTGACAGAACAGAAACAAGTGTATTGTAAAAATGCAGAGACTGTGTAGGGACTAGTGAAGCAAATATTAAGGTACAGGGTTGTTGTTGTTTTTTACAGATAATTGTACCAGTGCTGTTGATTATGCTGAACATCTAAAACGTCATTTTCTGTTTCTGTAGAAATCATAAAACTAGTTCATTGCTGATGGACATTTTAAGTATTTAATTGCAAAATGTTTCCCAACCAGTGAGCCTCAGGTGGTATTTTCCTATGATTCCTGCTGTCTCCATACTTCTTCAACCTCACTGGGGATAATAGAAGTTGTAGTTCACCAGTATCTGGGCATCGCAGTTTGGGAAAGTCTGTGGGGAACACCAGTTTTGCGGAAGTGTACTGAACTGAGAGAGACTGGTGTTATTTTTTAATGTCAAGCTGTTTAAAACAGATAATCTGATTTCTTGTTTAGTTGGTATAAATGAAATGCATAAAATACATAAAAACATTTTAAAACTGAGAAATAACAATAGGTGAAGCCTCAGCTTTCTGCCCCTCTAAGAGTTTCAATGGGAAATTTAATGTAAAATCTGTTCATAAATTTTATTTGGAACTGAAAATTGGAGGCACTTTGAAGCCTGTTTGTTTTTCCTTTATTCCTTATCAGTATAGGAGACTCCTGCATGCATCTACACTATACTGTACTTCTGGGAGTGAAAAACAGGGTATTACCCACTAGAAATTAAAATTGATCTCTGTATCCTGAACGACTGGCTTAATATAAGCAATGAGGAATGAGAAGACTCCAGATATGTACTATCTGGTTGGGCATTAACTTGAATGATTTTGTAAATTTAAAAATCATAGATCTGATTATTTCAGAGAATTTGTCTCCTTAATGTTTTTGCAAGTACAAGTTTATTTATTTATTTAAAATATTTTACTCTGCCTTTCTCCTTGAAAGGACCCAAGGTTGAAGAAAGAGGTGGCAGCTTTTGTTGATGTTTAGTTGTTATCTTTGGGTAGCCATTAAATGGCTCCTTGGATTTTTTAGGTTTTAGAAAATCAAATGACTGTGAATTACAATATTTTTCAAGCGATGCCAGTCTCCAAACAATTCTGCTGTATAGTTCCTTTTGGCCAAAATAAGAATCAATGCCCAAAGGAAGAGAGAAGTGCCATCATTGCAGTTATTTGATAAGCACAGTTTAGAAGATGTATTGTTTTCATCCTGTTTGCAGCCCTGACTATCCAGAGGACTAAAGGCAGATTCTAACTTTAAAACATCCAACATCATACACCTCAGAGTCATCACAGCCTTTTAGCAAATCCTCTGTGACTCTCTGTGTACTCTAAACTAATTTAGCATTGGAAACCACCCTAGGTTCTAAAAGAATATTTCACAGTGCTGACAAAGATGCTTAGGGTTATACGTGTGAGCTTAAGAATCTTACTGTTGAGTCAACAACAGGTCTTTTGTAGACGTGAGCAACATTTCTTATGGTTCACCAAAGTGTTTCACTAACAGTTTGTGCTCATTTTATGAATTTGGGAAGAAACAATCAATTAATTGTGCTGTGACTATTCAAGGCTCTGCAGCCCAGTTTGTGTAGAAGGAAGTCCTTCTGAATCTTATGGAGCTTTCTCCCAAGTACTTATGCATAAGGTTGCATCTTTAAATATCCGAACCAGTACTTAGAATTGTGCCAGAAGTCACTAAACTCCAGACATACTATTTCTTATATATATTCCTAGAAATGTAAAATGTGAATGCATCAGAACATGTATATTAAGCACTGTGTATTGTACAAAGGTACATTCAGTTGACTCGGGAAAAACCACAGTAGAATAATCTATCTGGGATCCATATCAGCAAATGATTCTGAACTATTAAAAGGAATCCTGTGTAGAGCCTACCTCTAATTAAATCAGTGGTTCCAAATCTTTTTCGAGTTGACCCACTTTTATAACGGCCAAATAACCTGCAATTCTCCTGCCAAGTTTGCATAAAAAATATTTTTAAATGAGGTAAAGTCATCCTGTCTCAGAAAGTAGATACTTCTTTCTCCGCCACAGGGCCTGTTTCTCATACATATACATGCAGTTTAATATCCTGTTCCAAAAGACCAAGGAAGACATTATTTAACAAGGGTACAATACATATGTAGGGTGTGGTGGCACTGCGGGTTAAACCGCAGAAGCCTCTGTGCTGCAAGGTCAGAAGACCAGCAGTTGTAAGATCGAATCCACGTGACGGAGTGCGCTCCCATTTGTCCCAGCTCCTGCCAACCTAGCCATTCTAAAGCATGTAAATGCGAGTAGGTACACAGGTACCACCATGGTGGGAAGGTAACGTGTTCCGTGTCTAGTTGCGCTGGCCACATGACCATGAAACTGTCTATGGACAAACGCTGGCTCTACGGCTTGGAGACAGGGATGAGCACTGCGCCCTAGAGTCGGATACGACTGGGCTAAATGTCAAGGGGAACTTTTACCTACAATACATATAAGGCAACCCATGACCTCCCAGAAAACACTTTGATTGGGAAACACGGAATTTAATGAATCAGTGTCTAAAATTCTACTGAGTAGCTGTGGGGGCATAACTTAACATTACATCCATGGTAGCTGCAATAGCGCCGAGTCAGAAGCAGTCAGAAGCACTATTCACAATTCTGTGTTGCAGGTGCATTGTGCAGTTGGTTGCAGGAGGAACTGTGCCCACAATTACCCAATCAATTTGTGCATGCCCTGTTCACTGGGTGTAATGTCTGTCAAACTTTTAGGTTACATAGTGATATACAAGATTGCATCCAATAGTTGCCTTGTCAGTGTTGCTGCCGTGACCTTTAGAATGGAATAAACAATTAATCCTAAATAAATAAGGAAACTTTGGGATTTAGCATCCCATACTATGGATCTAAGGTACCAACAGAACTGAATATAATCATTGAGGTTTCTCTTTTTCTTTCCCTCCCATCTACCCGCATCTTTTAGTGATAATATTTTATCTAGTTTGCTCTATAAAAAGGGTCCTTCCAGATCAGGCATGGGTATGAGTGTATCAGGTCAGCATCCTGTTTTCAGAAGAGGTCAGTCAGATTCATTCAGACAGCTTATACTAGAGGAGTATTACTGTATTACTACTTGTAGGTCTTTCGTAGATGTGAGCAACATTTCTGATATTGAGAATTATATCGCCATATCTGAATTTCTGGCAAGGTTACAATTTTGGAGTGCAAAGAATATGTCAAAACATGCTGGTAGTTTGTAATTAATGTATGTTTTATTCAACAGTTTCCATCTTTACTGTGAGAGCTCAAAAGTAGAGATGTGCATGGGGTAAACTTTT